TTTTGAAGAGGAGCATGGCAGAAAGAAGGTTGGGGAACCAGCAGGATCTGAGGACAGTAGAATATGTTTGGGTGTGTTTGTGTATGTTCATATGTGCTTTTATCCCTGGGTATTCTGTGTGTGTGTTTGAAATTTGGACCGTGCATATATCCATCCATCCACCATCCATCCACCCTATTCATTCACCCATCATCCATCCATTCATTCATCTGTCATCTATCCACCCCTCATCCATCTATCCCATCCATCCATTCATCCATCCATCTCATCATCACCATCCATCCATCCATCCATCCATCCATCCATCCATCCATCCATCCATCCATTATCCATCCTTTCCATTTTCCATCCATTCATTCATCTGTCATCTATCCACCCCTCATCCATCTATCCCATCCCTCCATTCATCCATCCATCTCATCATCACCATCCATCCATCCATCCATCCATCCATCCATCCATCCATCCATTATCCATCCTTTCCATTTATTCAACTATCTATCCATTCATCCATCTGTCCATCCCCCTACCCATTTATTTATTCATTCATTCTCTCATTTGTTCATTTGATAAATGCTTATTCATGTACCTGGCACTGTTTTGGAAGCTGGAGATACAGCTGTAAAAACAGGAAATGTCCCTGCCTTCTTTCAGCTTAACGTCCTTTATGTGCTTTTGTGATTATCTGTCATGTGACTGTGTGTATTTCTGGGTGTGTCCATCTGTGTTTCCATGTGTTTGCTTATAAATACTCATATAACTGTGTATATCTATGTGCCTTTGTGTATGTCACTTTCCATCTGTGAAACAGAGGCATCCTATTGACAGTCACCCAAAACTTTGAGGAAAAATGGCTGATAAAAATGACAGAGATGCCTTCTGCAAGTTTGTCATGTCTAGATCTGGCTGCCTTGTCTGCAGTGGAAACCAAAGGTATGTCTGACTTCTTAGAAATGGTATATTTTGACTCTTCATATCCCATTAATTTCCTAAGCCACAGTAGTAATTAAAAACAAAAACAAACAAAAAAACGTAATGGATTTAAATGGCACTTACAAACCCCTCTTAAGGTGTTTTAACAGTTCTCTCTACAACTTGAAGACATAGACAGGGCAGGTATTACTTTACCATTTTACAGATGAGGGAGTGGAGACTCAGAAACGTTTAGAGTCCTACTTGAGGTCACACAGCTTGAAAGTGGCAGAGCCAGAACCAGGGCAGTTTCCTGCCCCTGTAGGAATCAGTGCCTCCAATTCTTGCCCTGGAGTGTCCCTTTCTGCACTGAGGCCTCCAGATCATTTTTCTTCTGGGTGTGTGGCCTGTGTCCCAGCTCTCAGTTTGCTCCCATGTCTGCTGGAGAACCTCACAGCCCAGCAGGCATTGGGCAGCTCAGACGGCACACCGCCAGGAGAGAGGACAGCAGGAGGCCTTGGGCTAAAGTCTGTGATGTCAGCCATTTCTCTAACGGGCAAGTTGCTGTGGCCCCACACGATCCTCTGGCCCAGGTCAGCAGGGCTTAGCTACTGAGAGCTGGTTCAGACTGGAGTGGAGGTGGAGGGCTCAGGCTGGGTCACACAGAGCTGGCTCCCTGTCCTAGCTCTGCCAGCCACTTCCTAGCTGTGTGGCCTCACTCAGATCCCTTTGTCCACCAAGAGGCAGTTTTCTCTGCTGTAATATGTCAGTGATGCAGGTTAGCTCAGTGGGCTAACATCCTCCAGAGAAAGGCCACCAGGAGCCACCTGAGGTTGAACAAGTGACTGTTGCTTCTTGCAGTGAGGGGATGCATACCACAGGGACACATATCAGCATCTCTGTAAGAGGGCGTTACAACCTACTGTAGGAGTTGGGCTTGTGGCAGGTGGCTTGGGGCAGCGTTTGGGAGCTGGGGCTTTGTTCTGGATTGGATACTTTCAAAACTCATGAAGTAATTCTATGCATCCTCATCAATCTTATCTAGAAAGAGGCCATAATTGCTGAAGAAGCAAGTCACTCATATGAGCCAGGATGGAGAGCTGTTTGGTCACTTGTGTTTTGGACAAAGTCCTCCTCTCATCTGGGCTCGGACCTGATCACAGAGGGGTCTTGCTTTTGTCTTGATCAATCATTGTCGGAGTGGCCTTATTCTTTGAAATTGCTGACATTCGGCAGGAACATCAAGGCCTGCTATTGACAGTAGATGTCAGGGTTGCTTTTCACTTTCTCAAGTGCTCCTCACACTTGGCTGCAGGTTCACACCACCCAGAGAGATTTAAAAATCTCAGGGCCCTGGCCCCACCACATCCAAGTTACATCAGAATGGCTAGAGGGTGGGATCCAGCCGATGGTATGTTAAAGAACTTCCCAGGTGACTGAAAAGTGCAGCCAAATGGGAGAAATGCTGGTCTAACTCATGGTGTCACTGAGAGAGAAGATATATTTGAAACTGTAGCACAGTGCCTGGCACAGAGCAGAATTTGGGCAAATATTTCTTCCCCTCCTCTTTCCCCCCCTTTTTCTCATCCCCCTCCCCCTCCTTCCCCTGCTCCTCCTGTTTCTCCTTCTCCCTCCCGTCCTCTTCTCCCTGCTCCTTCTTTTCCTCCTTCTCCTGTCTTCATCCTCCTGTCCTTCTCTTTCTCCTCCTCCTCCTTTGTCCTCTTCTCATCCACAGGAGAACTCTCTCCCTTCTCAGGCTGGGACAGCCAATGTGTCAGCATAGGGATGGTCCAGGTTAGGAGAAAACTGTCTTGGAAGAGCTTCATAACTTGGTACTTTGTGCTGTGTGACCTTTCATAAGTTGCTTAGCTTCTCTGTGCTTAAAGCATCCCTTAGTGAGAATGCAAAGTCCAGAGCCAAACTCTCTGGTTTTAATCCCAGCTCTGTCACTTAGTTCATAAGTGATTAGCAAGTTCCTTAACTCCTCCATGCTTCATTTTCCTCATCTTTAAAATGGAAGTAACAATAATTCCTACGTTATAGGTTTGGTCATGGGATTACATGAGTTGATATACAAAGCACAGTGCTGCAGGCCCTTAGAAAGCATATGTGTTAGCCAGTACTGCCACCATTCCTGTAAGTGGAGGCAGCAAGCCCCGTCTGTCTGCAGCCCTTTCTCTACAGGGAAGTGGTAACACCTGCTGGGTGCGAGGCAGGGGGCCAGCCCTGTGCTGGGACAGTGGCCCCAACAGCCAAGAGCGGGAGGCACAGCTGATGAAACAGCCTCTTAGACTGGACTCCGGGCAGTCTAAAAAGAGGCCCCACGGGGTGAAGGGTTACCTGCTCTCACAGCTTGAGGAGCGGGACTCCGAGCTCTGGGACCGTGAGGGGCAGCGGTGATGGCGGTGGCGGTGAGACTTTCGGGGCCGGCTTCGAGATCTTGGGAAGATGAGAAGGAATGAGTCAGAGATGAGAAGGAACGAGTCAGAGGAGGGGAAGGAGAAATGGGGAGAGAGAGAGACAGAGCTGATCTTGTGACACATTTTTCTCCTGCACCCGAGTCACCATCCCTCCCAAAGTCATGCATCTCTCCCCATCTCCTGCATTGCTCTGGCTGGATGCATACCACAGGGACACATATCAGCATCTCTGTAAGAGGGCGTTAGAACCTACTGTAGGAGTTGGGCTTGTGGCAGGTGGCTTGGGGCAGCGTTTGGGAGCTGGGGCTTTGTTCTGGATTGGATACTGTCAAAAAAACATGAAGTAATTCTATGCATCCTCATCAATCTTATCTAGAAAGAGGCCATAATTGCTGAAGAAGCAAGTCAACTCATATGAGCCAGGATGGAGAGCTGTTTGGTCACTTGTGTTTTGGACAAAGTCCTCCTCTTATCTGGGCTCGGACCTGATCACAGAGGGGTCTTGCTTTTGTCTTGATCAATCATTGTCGGAGTGGCCTTATTCTTTGAAATTGCTGACATTCGGCAGGAACATCAAGGCCTGCTATTGACAGTAGATGTCAGGGTTGCTTTTCACTTTCTCAAGTGCTCCTCACACTTGGCTGCAGGTTCACACCACCCAGAGAGATTTAAAAATCTCAGGGCCCTGGCCCCACCACATCCAAGTTACATCAGAATGGCTAGAGGGTGGGATCCAGCCGTTGGTATGTTAAAGAACTTCCCAGGTGACTGAAAAGTGCAGCCAAATGGGAGAAATGCTGGTCTAACTCATGGTGTCACTGAGAGAGAAGATATATTTGAAACTGTAGCACAGTGCCTGGCACAGAGCAGAATTTGGGCAAATATTTCTTCCCCTCCTCTTTCCCCCCCTTTTTCTCATCCCCCTCCCCCTCCTTCCCCTGCTCCTCCTGTTTCTCCTTCTCCCTCCCGTCCTCTTCTCCCTGCTCCTTCTTTTCCTCCTTCTCCTGTCTTCATCCTCCTGTCCTTCTCTTTCTCCTCCTCCTCCTTTGTCCTCTTCTCATCCACAGGAGAACTCTCTCCCTTCTCAGGCTGGGACAGCCAATGTGTCAGCATAGGGATGGTCCAGGTTAGGAGAAAACTGTCTTGGAAGAGCTTCATAACTTGGTACTTTGTGCTGTGTGACCTTTCATAAGTTGCTTAGCTTCTCTGTGCTTAAAGCATCCCTTAGTGAGAATGCAAAGTCCAGAGCCAAACTCTCTGGTTTTAATCCCAGCTCTGTCACTTAGTTCATAAGTGATTAGCAAGTTCCTTAACTCCTCCATGCTTCATTTTCCTCATCTTTAAAATGGAAGTAACAATAATTCCTACGTTATAGGTTTGGTCATGGGATTACATGAGTTGATATACAAAGCACAGTGCTGCAGGCCCTTAGAAAGCATATGTGTTAGCCAGTACTGCCACCATTCCTGTAAGTGGAGGCAGCAAGCCCCGTCTGTCTGCAGCCCTTTCTCTACAGGGAAGTGGTAACACCTGCTGGGTTCGAGGCAGGGGGCCAGCCCTGTGCTGGGACAGTGGCCCCAACAGCCAAGAGCGGGAGGCACAGCTGATGAAACAGCCTCTTAGACTGGACTCCGGGCAGTCTAAAAAGAGGCCCCACGGGGTGAAGGGTTACCTGCTCTCACAGCTTGAGGAGCGGGACTCCGAGCTCTGGGACCGTGAGGGGCAGCGGTGATGGCGGTGGCGGTGAGACTTTCGGGGCCGGCTTCGAGATCTTGGGGAGATGAGAAGGAACGAGTCAGAGGAGGGGAAGGAGAAATGGGGAGAGAGAGAGACAGAGCTGATCTTGTGACACATTTTTCTCCTGCACCCGAGTCACCATCCCTCCCAAAGTCATGCATCTCTCCCCATCTCCTGCATTGCTCTGGCTTCCTGCCTGGGTATTCTAGGGGTCTCCAAACAGCTGGACAGAACACATGTGAGCAGAAAGGGCTCCTCTGGAGGGAGCGTGGGTGACTCAGGCCCCTCGCCCCTGCTGGAAGCAGGCCTGATGCAGACCACGGCCTGGGCAGAAAGTCACCTCCACAGGTCACTTTTCCCTCACCTAAGTCAGGAGTCTCAATTTCCCATGGCTTTAGGGCCCAGTCAGGTAAAACAAATGTGTGAGACAGCCAGGCGCTAGAGCCATATCAGCTGAAGGCCTGGGCTAAAACAGAAGGCACTGTTTTGCCTCCAGAATATTGTCGTGGTGCTGGATCTACTAATTTTTCAAGTGAATGTGGAAATACAGATTTTTGTGTAAAATACTCCTATTTTAAATAGAAGGTCATTTTTTTAAAAAGCAACTTCTGGGGCAAACAAAACACATTTGCAGAGTAAATTAGGCCTTTGGGCTGCCAATCTGTAACCTCAGACTTGGAAAATTAAGTCCAGATTTTTAGCATGAAGTCAAAAGTCTTTCGGAATGGGCTACAAGCATCATCACCAACAGAAATTACAACAACAGTTACTACCACTGCCACTAACAGTAGTATTACCATAGGTTACTTCAGCTACTTCCAAGTCATAATAACCACTCAGAAGTAGCAGTAGCAGCGGAAGTGGAAATTAAGGTGTTTGGGGAATGTCAACAGTTTGGGCCAAGCCAGGAATCCAGTGGGAGTTAGAGATAATTCCACCGGGAGGAAGACTGGTTATCCCAACAAAGGATTTGGGGATTCTTCTAATGTAATTATCAGACCATATCCCTTCTCTGCTTCAAACTTTCCCACTGTCCTCATGTCAAGTCCAGACTCTGATTTTGACCCCCAAGCACCTTCAGGAGCTAGCCTCGCTCTCTGGCTCATTGCTTGACATCTTCTGCCCTGGCCTGGCAGGCTCAGGCAACTCTGAACTGCTTGTATTCTCACACATTTCCCAGTTCATGATGTCCTTGTGATGATGATAATGATGATGATGATGGCAGGTAACTGTATCTAACACATACTTTGTGCTAGGTACTGAGTTCTAAGAATTTTCCATAAATGGACTCGTCTATTCCTCACAAGAACCTATGAAATAGGTTCTCTTATTATTCTTATCTTACAGATGAGGAAACTGAGGCACACGAAGTTTAAACCTGCAGCCCACAATGGTTACCTACCATCTTCACCCTCCTGCAGGAAACTACCTCTACCACCAAGCCCTCTTTCCAGTACCGATGTTTCCACAATGTCCCAGGCTTCTGTCTACCACCACTGTGCCATGACCTGCCCCGTATTTGTGATCTATGCCCACTGCACTGTCAGTTCCCTGGGGCCAGGAGAAAGTCTGCTCATCTCTGCCCTTGGGCCCAGCACAGGGTTCACCACTTATCAAGGTCTCACCAAGAAATGTTGAATAAAAAGAGGCTAACCCACTCCAGTAGTCACTTGCTTAGAAGCAGCTCTGACCAGTGGGACTTGGCAAGAAAAAGAATTGTTTTCCTTAGTGATGCCTTATTTTTCTTGCTTTTCCCTTTCTTGTCTCTTGCCTGTGGCTTGCACAAGCTTTCTGATGTCCTGCTAGCAATTTCTGGTACTCATCCAGCTCTTGGCATGGGGAGGATATCCACCTAGCTGCCCGCAGGCAGGCAGTCCTTGTCTCGGTGATGGTCCCTTCCAGAGCTCTTAGGCCTGGGTCCACCCCCTGGCTCTGTAGCTTCCTATCCTGTGGCCCCACTGGACAAGTAATGCTGAGATCTCTGAGAACATGTGATCTATGTGTGCTTAGCATGAAAGTGCATTCAATGCATATGGCCAATAATTGTCTTTTGACCTGAATTGAACAAGTTTCATGATGGGGAAGTTCCTCCCTGAGCTAACTCAAGGCTCTACTGCTTTCTTCTGGAGCATTCCCTAGGGCTCAGTGGCAGTGGTCGAAATGCTCTTCTTCACACTGACCTTAGGAGAAAAAACCCTTTGGGGCAGCAAAGCTGGGTGCCCTCCCTCTGCGGCCCTGCCTCTTCTTTTCCTTCCCCAGCAGCCGACTACCTTTTATCCTATTGTCTTTGATCCTCTCTTTAGAAGCTTCTTGGCAGGAGATAAAATATTAGTTGATTGGAAAACATGCACTAACATTTGCAGGGCATAAAGTAGATGGGTTGTAACCAAATTTACTTTTAATCTGGCTGGGAACTGAACTCCACAGGCAGCGCTGGCTGATTTGAATTTCTACTACCAGCTACAAACTGTGAAACAGCTGGGGACCCGAGACCAGGGATAGGAACTTTACTGATATCTCCACACTGTAAATCCAGTAGCCAGGGCATGGACTCATATTCATGTTTACACATGTACACACACGCTATCACACCCCAGTGACCACCCATGTACATACAGCACATGCATGTATACAGGTAAAAAACCACCATACAACCCCTGTACATGTAATGCACACAGATATATAAACAGTGCACATACGGAGTGTGTAGAATTCACACACATTGGTACACAGCGCACTTACATGCATGCTGTTCATGTTCATGTTCTGTACATGTAATGCACACAGATATATAAACAGTGCACATACGGAGAGTGTAGAATTCACACACATTGGTACACAGCGCACTTACATGCATGCTGTTCATGTTCATGTTCACACAGGCACAGGCATACATAATGCATTTGTATGAATTCAAATATATACCACACACACACTGTGTGCCCACATTGTATGCATTTGTACACAAAGTGTACACAAATGTTTACGTCATGTAAAAATGTACAGACATTTACAATGTGCACAGCACATATACACACTACATATAAATAAATACACACGCACGGTACACACACAATAGGCATGCCAGGCACACACATGCACACTGTACACTTTCATGCAAACATAAACACGCATGCACACACATACACATCATATACACAACCGGTTGCACTCATGCATACCTAAACCCACAACTACAAGGACACATGTGGTTGTCTTTCCCTCCCTCCTTCTCCTTCTTTCCCTTCGTCCCTCTCCCAACCCTCTCCTCCTTCCCCCTGTTTATTTGGCAGCTCTAACAATCTGGCTGGTAAGAGGCCAGGTCCTCCAACTCCCCAAATGGGAGAGCACATTCCAGGTGGTATCCACTTACTGTTTTTTGTGCCTCTTCTCTTCCCTTCTTTTGCTTTTTGGGCTAGAGGAGCTGAAAAAGAAATGGCCAATTAATTGAAAGAAGCAAAAAAAA